ACCACCAGGTGGCAGTCTTTGTACTTTTATTTCGAGGGTGCAGATTGCATAAGTTTTATTAATATGTATAACTTAATTTATTTTATTAATGACTATAACTTTATATATATAGTTAAAAAATATGTACCATTTTCCCAAGTGTGCATAAATACTACTGTAAGAAAATATCAGAATTCAGAACATACTTTCTGTATTATCTCTGCTTGAACTGAGCCGATCTAATCCTGTTTATATGAATTGAACCTGCTCCCGATCTGGTTTGACCTAGCAGAACTGTTGCTATGACAACAACTCTCGGATCAGCTTTGAAGAACGAAACGATCCTGGATCGTGTCAAATCGTCAATATCCAAATCCAGCTAACTGAGTAATCCACGTACGAAGAACGGACCCCTGCTCATTTCTGAGTTATGATGTCAATATTTACCGGTATTTGGGAATGGATGTGTGAATGGTCTGTTCTGGAAATATTCCAGATCATCGTTGTCTGTGTGAACAGCGCTTTATTGAATTTACTAGTAAAGTGGTTCTGGTATGACACTGTGAGAGGGGCTATTATGTGCTGCCATCATGGCAAATAAATCAGAGATGAGTTATTATCACTGTTGTGTTTAGAAATGTGTTGAACAAATCTGCTCTCCGTCAAACAGAAACTCTGACTATACGGTTTGCCTTTGGATTAATCACGTGTTGTCGTCTGAAAGCCAGGCTTCTGATATGGCTGATGTGTATTGGCCAGCCTGCGGGTTGTTTGCCAACGCATGTGTGTGTCCGTGAGGAATAGAGGTGGTATGAAAGCTCCGCAGCAGCGTCCCAAGCTACCCGTTTGCTTTCCTTCATCAGCATTCCACCGATGAGAGTAATTAAAGCTCAAATTAATTCTGCTGTAAGCAGACGAGCCGCTGAATAACTGATATTGGAGGCGCGATGATGAATGCGCCACATCAAGGGTGAAGCCCTGGAGACACGGCAGGGGAAAAAAACAGACATCTCCTTTTGTCTGCTCTCGGTTTCACTCGGGCTCAGTTCAGTAGCCTAGAGAGATGCCTATACTGGTGGCTGGAGTGACATGCAGACAGTCAGTTCAGTTCAATTCCTGTTTATTTCTCCAGCGCTTTTACAATGTCGATTGTGTCGAAGCAGCTGAACACAGACATTTGGGTAAACTGAAGCAGTGTCCGTCCAGTGTTCAGTGTTGAAGTTCAGTTCAGTGTGGTTTAATGTTCACTGCTGACACTGAAGATCAAATACGTGCATGTGCAGCTCCACAAGTCCCAAACCAAGCAAGCCAGTGGCGACAGTGGAGGGGCAAACTTCACCAATTGACCAAAGTGAAGGAACAAACCTCGAGAGAGACCAGGCTCAGTTGCGACCATTTCTCCTCTGGCCAAACTTCCTGTGCAGAGCTGCAGTTTAAGAAGCTGGGCCCGTTTTTTCAAAAGTAATCCACTGGGATTTTGGATCAGGGATTGGATCAAATCTTGAAAATGGGTTTTTCAAAAGAAAAAAAACGGATTACCTAATCGGATTAGATCACGTAATCTAATCTTGGTTTTGATCCGGATCAAACCTTTAGTTTGGGTTTTTCAGATCTTTTTTGTAGGATCTGGATCACTTTGATCCAAAAAACCTGGATTAAACTGATCCCATCAGAATGGTGGATTTAGCGTGGATTTCATGCCCGAAATGTAATGAAAACTTTAAAAAATGTATTAAATAATACTATCTTTGGATCATACAGTATCTTACGAGATATACTATTGATTCATAAGGTTTTAATTTTATTTGTTCATCTGTCAGGCTGTAGTGATTATAGGCTTTAACGTATTCAGCCTTTCAGTATAGGCCTACTGCAAAGTAGAACGAGTTTGGCCTCATAAAATAATCCCCCAAACAGCTGTCAAAACTGACCAAAAACAATCAATTTTATTCTTTCACTAAATGATATATATATTCATCACAATGGAAAATATTTTTCTTTTTAGAATATTTATTAGTGATGCATGCAATGGTTACAGAATAACAAAAAAATGCAAAGAATGGCAATGACTGATTTTTTAAAATCTCTTTCAACAATTGCAAAAAGAGACTGAAAGGGCAGAAGCACAGCTTCGTCTGGCAGAGGAACAAGCTGCTCTCTCCACATCAGATGAGGAAGTCTGAACTTATTGTGGAGTTTTTGACATTAAGTCTTTTTTTTATTTACATCTATATTTGAAACTTATTATAAATATCCTCAATGTACAGTGTTGTAGGTGTCAGATGAGAGGACTGCTGAAAGAGGATGGGGTGTTGTTTTTTTGTTTTTATTATTTATTATTATTATTATTTTAATAATTATAAAATTTTCTTAGTTTTCATTTCAAATAAAAATAAAGTTATATTGACCCCACACTGGCTATTCTACTCTTTACATATCTATAGTTCTACATTGTGATGTCCTATCCTGTTTGAGCACTGGTTATCCAGATTTAGTGATCCTGAAAAGTTCCTATCCGGATCAGATTGATCCAATCCGATGTTGCTTTAAAAAACTGGCTCAAAAAGTAAGCTGGATTACGTGATCACGGATCGCAAAAACAGGATTACTAAATGCGGATCAATTTTATCCGGATTAAACCATTGAAAAACTGGGCCCTGGAGAATCCTGGACCTCCATCGTGGAGATAAATAAACTTCCCAGGGATATCCCCTCAACCCCCAAACCTGATCATGGGCTGGGTGGCGTGAGGTTGGGTGCCTGCTGTTTTTTAATTCAACTCAATTAAATTCAAGTTTCTTTGTATGTTGCTTTTCACTATAATTAATACTTCAAAAAGCAACTTTACAAAAGATGCACAATACTGCATTACAATCAAATTCAGAAAAGTTAAGGTTGTTAGTTACAATAACTTTATTAAATACTAATAACTTTAATTAATTAACTTTTTAAACAGTATCTTAAAGTCTTCGTGAACCTTTTTTTCCACATTGTGGCGCAAATCCTGGAGAAACGGAATGTTGAATGGGAAAACCGTGGGCGTGGCTTGTTTTTTTTTCTACTGCGAGCAGATTGGATGTAGTAAAGTAGGCGTTTTTATTCAGAAAGATGGGGAAATGGGTTTCGAAAGAGATATTACAACCTACACTGAAAAAAAATATTCAAAGATGATTCCTTAGATTTACTAAATTTTTTTTTACGTTAAGTGGTTATAAACAATTTATTTGGGCTGGATTTAAATAAACAAATTAAGTTGAACATTATTAAACTTAATTTGTTTGTTTAAATTCAACACAAACTAATTGTTTGCAACAGTTCTGCATGCGACACTTTTTTCAGTGTAACAGACTCCTCCTGCTCACCACTTTTTGTTTGTTGTCAAAACTGACAGCTGGAGGGGCGTGGTTAAGTATGTTAGCCACGCCCAATACCTCAGACAGATGTAATCTGAGAATCTAACTGAGAAATGTCAGCGTGATGGTGGTGGAGATTATGTGATGTGAATCAGGTGACGTCAACAGGTGATTGTAATTATGATCTGGTACAAAAGTAGCATCCAAGAAAGGTCTAGTCCTTTAGGAGCAAAGATGGGCCGGGGATCGCCAGTTTGCCAACAAACACATGAGAAAATGATTGAAATGTTTAAACACAATGATCCTCAGAGAAAGAGAGGAGGACATTTGGATGTTTCACCTTCAGCAGTGCAGAACATCATTAAAAGATTCAAGGAATCTGGAGAAACTCCAGTGTGTAAATGACAAGAGCTCAAGCCTAAGCTGAACAGCCGTGATCTCCGATCCCTCAGGGGGCGCTGCATCAAGAATCCTCAATCATCTATAAGCCAGATCACCACATGGGCTCAGGACTACTGCGGCAAACCTTTGTCAAGTACCACAATACGTAGTTACATCCAGTGAAAACTGTACTGTTCCAAAGGGAAGCCCTATGTTAACAGTGTCCAGAAACACTGTCAACTTTTCTGGGCTCGCAGGCAACTGGCTTGGACAGTCACGCAGTGGAAACATGCACTGTGGTCAGATGAATCAGTGTTTTAGGTATTTTTTGGAGAAATAGATGCCGTGTGCTACAGATCAAAGAAGAAAAGGATCATCCAGGCTGTTACCAGCCCAATAGCCAAGGTTTGTCATGGTATGGGGTTGTGTCAGTGCCTTTGCACTTCTGTGATGCACCATTAATGCTAAAAAGTACAGAGAGATTTTAGAGCACAATATGCTGCCTTTTCCAGGGACACCCATGCATATTTCAACAAGACAATGCAAAAACACGTTCTGCACACATTACAGAGTCCTGCTGCAGAGGAAGAGGATACAGCTAATAGACTGGCCTGCCTGCAGTCCCGACCCATCTCCAATAAAGAATGTGTGGTGAAATTCTGCAATGACTCAACAAATCCCAACTTAACATTGCCCATCCTGAGATATAAATGTTGTCAACGCTGAAACGAGACATCATGCACCCCCAATTATTAGTTTTTCATGTCATTTAGTGCTTTGAGCTTGACACGTTCCTTTGCATGGACTGCAATGGACACACTTTGTTCCCAAAATGTTGCATATGGTGTTTTGATGGTGACCATGGTGGTGGAGTCTAACACATTGGTCCAAAATTTCCCATTGGGTGACTGCAAAGGCCAAAGCATATGAGTCTTTCCCAGTGGAGCCGACACATGCCAACAAAATGCTGCCACAGCAGTACAGAGCCACCAAATGGGGACTATTTTCTATTCATTTGTCTCCGATCTTTTATATAAACATACAAGGCCTAGAATTAACACCAGCCAAGTGTCTAATATGAGTGAAAATAAATATTGGCAAGTTTTTATAGCAATGTCAGTTGCCAGATGGCTTGTAAACTATTCATGAGTTACAATGCAATGTAGTGAGTAGTCCGTTTTTTAAGAGATTAATATAGTAACCCATGTCTGGGCGAACTGTTTAACATTCATTCATCCATTTTCTTTTCAGCTTAGTCCCTTTATTAATCTGGGGTCACCACAGCAGAATGAACCGCCAACTTATCCAGCTTTTTTTTGTACTCAGTGGATGCTCTTATAGCCGCAACCCATCACTGGGAAACATTTATACACTCTCATACACTACGGACAGTTTAGCTTACCCAATTAACCCTACCACATGTGTTTGGACTTGTGGGGGGAAACCGGAGCACCCGAAGGAAACCGGAGCCAAAAAGGGGAGAACATGCAAACTCCACACAAAAAAACTAACTGACCCAGCTAAGGCTCGAACCAGCGACCTTCTTGCTGTGAGGCGATTGCACGGCCTACTGCGCTATCGCGATGCCCACTGTTGATTATATACAGCTACTCAGCTAACATGAAAACAACAATTGTATTTCCTAATTCTTCCGAAAGCCCTGTTAAATACTGTCAATCAGTGTAACTGTTAGCCCAACACAATCTCACGGCAATTCGTAACTTTTTCATTTAGTGGCTAATTCGTACTAATTCGTACGATCTAATTTGTACATTTTAGTACGATTTGCGTATCCTCCAATGACGGTTGGGTTTAGGGGTGGGGTTAGGTGCCACGCCTCCTTTTTAAAAGCGTACATTTTCTTACGACTGAACTCGTACGAATTAGCCACTAAACTGCCAAAACGTAAAATACTTACGTTTTCTCGTGAGATCAGGCTGGTTAGCCGTATCAGTTTGAGCATGAATCAGACAGACGATGAGACAGACGACACAGCTGAACCTCACGCCTGCTCTCTAAAGTAAAACCAGACAAGCGTCTTTGACTATTTTATCTAGTATAGTCTTTCGATGGTAGCATTCAACACAGGCTCATTGTGAATATGTACCCCTGTCTATATTTTTGGAGAGCACGAATTATGTAGCCAGAGGTATGTATGGTTGCATTTCGTCTTTAAAACAAACGCTAAATGGAAATACTTACACATGCCCTTTGAATACAATTAGAGAGTCAATGGCTAGCTTTCTCCTTAACGACAATATAATTATTTATAATTGAACATTTACATAGTTCTAGAGGTTATGCATCATTGTGAAAATATGTTTGGCAATCTTTTACTATATTTAGTTTTATATATTTATTTATTTTGACGAGGTTCATTTAATATTTTTATACATGTATGTAAATATATATATATATATATATATATATATATATATATATATATATATATATATATATATATATATATATATATATATATATATATATATATATATATATATATATATATATATATATATATATATATATATATATATATATATATATATATATATATATATATATATATATATATATATATATATATATATATATATATATATATATATATATATATATATATATATATATATATATATATATATATATATATATATATATATATATATATATATATATATATATATATATATATATATATATATATATATATATATATATATATATATATATATATATATATATATATATATATATATATATATATATATATATATATATATATATATATATATATATATATATATATATATATATATATATATATATATATATATATATATATATATATAAATATATATATATATA